GCTCCAGCCTCACCATTCCTCATGGTTTACTCCCAGGAGCAGCCGTGGGGTGTGCACAGCGCAGGGCTGGCACAACACATCACAGCGCTGGGTGCTGACACCCAGGGGTGAGAGCTCCAACGTGGAGTGGGAAATGCCAGGGATGAGTATCCCACAAAGCAAAGCCCAGAGGTGGCTCATAAGGGCATTCCCAAAAGGTGGATAACTGGGATAAAACCATTAAAGATGTTTGGGTTGCCTACAGAAGTGTCTTTACACCCAGTAGTATACTTTAACCAGTTTGATGACTGTGCTCTGGTTTAGATGCCAGAACCACTTTAATACTCTTATTCCTGGCTGGTGGGCATGATCCTTCCCTGGATTATGTCCAAATGGGCTCGGAGGACCGGAATCCCTGGGGAATTTCCTCCAGCTGCTTCTCAGAGTGTTAAATCAGACCCGTTGTGGTTTCTGTGATACCAAAGCTCGTGGTGGCAGCAGCAGGAGGTGACAGAGCAGAGGCCACACCATGAGGTTTGGGCAGGGGCAGATCCCACATAAACCCACTTTCTGGGGGAATTCTGGCCAGGAATGATGGGAAACCAGCCCCCAGCTGCACCACGAAGGGCTGCTGGGCACTGGGACAAGGATACATTGGACCAGAACCAGCCTTCAAGCTGGTCTGGCAGTTTCGTGTCCAACCCCGACGTTCCCAGGCTGGTTTCCCAGGGCAGGAGCCACCAAATCCTTAAGTTTCAGGCAAAATAATCCCAAACTCTGGCACTTTGGTCACGGAGGGAGGGGGTGGCAGCAGCAGCAGCTGCTCTGCAGCGCAGGCAGCTGGAAGGAAGGAAGAGGATCTGTGTGCTCAGCACTATCACTGGGAAGCACAGAGCATTCCCAGAGCGTTCCCTTGATCCTGAAGCTTTTAAGGAACAACCAGAGCACGGGAACGCTGTTCTGAAATCCCAACGGCTTCAAGAAACAGGGAAAAGAGCCACAGGGAAAGGAGCCTGGAAAACCAGGTCCTTCCCACAGCTCTAAAGCCACGGCCCCATCAAAACATTCCAAGTGGAAACTCTGAGGCAGCCCCGCTCCCAACTGCCAGCTTGTTCCAGGAGATAACTCAGCAGAACAATGGAATTACAAAGCGTGGAGCCGTGACACAGCCTCGGGGTCAGGAAAACAAGCCGGGGAGGGGGGGAATTCCCAGTGTATTCCTATATCCCAGAGCTACATGTTGCCCTTTTGCATCCGCTCCGGCTATTAGGGGGATGAAGAGCTTCTTTCCAAGCTATTTTCCCTGTAAAAACCCACGTGGATCACCTTATTTTGCAGTTTGGTGGCTGATATGCCATGGATCCAAAGGGGTTTTCCCAGTTTAGAGCCTCCGGAGGTGGGGGGGGGAATTCCCATTCCAGCCTCCAGCAAAGCCTCTTTTACAGGAAGCAGCACTGGCCTTGCCTCACCTTTATCATGAGCTGGCAGCCTGCCCTGGATCCTCCATATGGATGTTAAAGCACATGGGAATGCTCAAATTTTGCCTAGCAAATCCAGGGTTGGAATTATATAGGCTTTAAGGTCACTTCCAAGCCAAACCATGGGAAAAAACAGGGAAAACAGAGGGAAACCAGGCAAAGCTGGAGTGTTAACGGGCAGGTTTGGACAGTGACAAACCGAGTCCTTCAGCCTGACATGGTGAGGAACATCCCACCAGCAAAGCCAAGCCTTTTCCAAAGGTTAAAGCTTTCCTAAGCCCGTTGGGAACAACTGGGAGAGCAGCTGCTGCCGGGAGCACAAAGGAGGAGGTTGTAGTGCTGAGGATGCAGGGATTTGCCAGGGCTGGAGCTGGGAGTCTCCGATAAGCCCCCGCTCCCGATGGCTGCAGGTGGGAAGGGGGGAAAACACTGGAGGAGAAGTTAGTTTTCAAGGGATTCTCTGTTTTCACTGGCTTGTGGCTCTCCAGCTGCTTCCCAACTGGGAATAACAACACGCAGGAATCCCACGGGCCTTCCAGTGGTAACTGGAGCCCTGCGAGGTCATTTAGAGTATGGCAAAGTGGGAGACGCTTCGTTTCATGTGGAATTCCTAAGGTTTGGGGAGGATCTGGAGGGGTCAGAAGCAAACGGGAACGGTTGGGATGACTCAAGTTGACCTTGAAGGCCAAGCCCAACATCTCCAGCGTGGAGAACGCACCACCACGTGTGCTAAAATGATGTTTTAAGGGGTCTACTTGAGACAACTCAAGGTGCAAAGGATGGAGGTGAAGGCCAAGGTGAGGTTCATGGCCAAGGTGATCCATGGTGGAGGGGATCCCCCTCAACATGGCCTTACCCCAGCCTCTCCTTGCTCTCCTCTGGTGTGAGCTGGTCGAAGGTCTTGGCCTCATCCGCACCCAGGAAGGCGTCGTGGTCGTAGTCAAAGCTCTGGGCGTCGTCATGGACCTTGTCGCTGAGCTGGGGCTCGTGGTGGACACGGTCCTTCTTCTCAGTGGGCTTGGAGGAGATGCAGAGCATGGAGAGGGACAGGCACAGCACAAGCCGAGCGATGGTCATGGTGGGTCTGAGGCACCTGTGGGACCGGGAACAGCCGGGAGGTCACGTCCTGCCTGGGGCACAAAGTGGGATTCTGGTGCCGGCTGAGTGGGAAAGGTGGAGTTAACCCAGGTTATCCACACAAAGTGAGGAAAACGATGGAGTAATCCAGGTTATGTCAGGAAAATGATGGATTAGTCCAGGTTACATAGGGAAAAAATAGGAGTTAGCCCGTACTATCTAGGCAAAATGATGAGTTAATCCAGGTTATGTGGGCAAAGTTATGAATTAAGATGGATTATACAGGCAAAATCATGAATTAATATGGATTATCCTGGCAAAGTGACAAATCAGTGTAGATTATCTGGGGAAAATGATGGATTAATAGAGATTGTATGGGAAAAATGATTAATCCAGGTTATCCAGGCAAAGTGATGAATTAGTCCAGTTAATGTGGGCAGAATGAGGAATTAGTATGGATTATCAGGGTAAAATGATGAATAGATCCAGATGATGTGGGCAAAATGGTTCATTAATATTCATTATCCAAGCAAAATTATATACAGATTATATGGGAAAAGGATTAATTAATATAGGATACCAGGGCAAAATGACTACTTAAACCAGGTAATCGGGACAAAGTAATGAATTAATAGGGATTATCCAGGCAAAGGGATACATTAGGACAGATTATCCAGGGAAAGCGATGAGTTAGTAGAGATTATGCAGGAAAAGGCAGAATTAATCCAGGTTATCCAGCCAAAGTGATGAATTAATCCAGGTTATTTGGGCAAAATGATGAATTAACACAGTTAACTGGGAAGAATAGTGAATTAATGCAGTTATGTGGACCTAGTGATGAATGAGTCCAGGTTATCCAGGCAAAGTGACAAATTAATCCATATAATGTGCTCAGAATGATAAAATTAATCCAGTTATGTGAGAAAATAATGAATTAATCATAAAATAGTTAGGGTTGGAAAGGACCTTAAGATCATCTAGTTCCAACCCCCCTCCCATGAGCAGGGACACCACACACTAAATCCAGATTATTGAGGGCAGTTAAAGAAAGGTCTTGGAGCCTCCTGGTGCCCACAGAACCCATCAGACATGCCCCAACCCACCTCACACGCAGCACACAGAATTCCATTGGTGTGATCCTGCCCCAAAACCTGCCTAAAACTACATTGTACCCTGTGGAAACAAGAAGTTGAAGTGTCTTTGCAGCTCAGATCACTCACAGATGTCAGAAAGGAGATATGGGGAGGGGGAAGTACTTCTAATGGAATAGAAGAAGGAGTTTCCTGCCTCGAGGGGTTACTCGGGCGTGAGGGTAAAGAAATTCCTTGTATTTAAGTCCTTCGCATTAAGATGTGCTTAGGATGAGGTGGAGGAGTCCACTGAATCCCCAGGGATTTATCCAGATGTATTTATCTGCACAGGCTGAGGCAGTGAAGGACAGAAGCCAAACGCTGAGGAGGCCGGAGCGTTGCCAGGTTTCCTGTTGGGAAAGCTGGAAACCAGGAGGAAAACCCAAAAGCAAGAGGAATCCCACTGCCACGACAGCATCCAGCAATGTGAGGATGCTGAGGGGAGAGGGATGTGGGTTGGGAGCTGGAGGGAGAACGAGGAAGGATACATGGAGTCAATCAGAGAGATACCAGAGAGGTGCTTTTGACAAGGGATGTAGGGATAGGATAGAGGGAATGGCTTTAAATGGGATAGCAGGGAGAAGATCTGCATTATGAGGGTGGTGGGACATTGGAATGGGCTGCCCAGAGGAGCTGTGGCTGCCCCATCCCTGGCAGTGTCCAAGGCCAGGCTGGAGCAACTTGGGAATGGGAGGATTGGAAAGGAAAGGGGACTTCATTTGTGATCCAAGCTCAATCCACGTGGAAAACCCACAATTCCCATCCACCTCTGATGCAATCCAGCGTGGCCATGACCTCGGGAATGCCACCAAGGATCTGTATTTACACACAGCCCAGGCTCTGGCTCACTCTGAGCACATCCCAGTGCTGAAACCTCCTGCTCATCCCAAGAGCTGCCCAGCCTGGAGCACGGGCTGACCTGGAACGCTGGAAATGGCCTGATTTTTATCTCCAATGTCCACATGGAGCAGCCTGGGGGTGGGTAAAAGGGACAACCTGACCTCAAAGGCACGTCCTGGCCTGGTGCCGGGTGCTGGGAGGCAGGAGAAGCCTCATCTCTGTGGGTGGAAGGTGCTGGTTTAGTGCTTGGAGGGATGAAAAAGCCATAAATCATCCCATTATTCATCAGTAATTCACAGTTCTGCTGCTACACCAATGGGATTGAGTCCCAAGATCCCAAGTTTTCCTTGGAGCTCTGAGTTTTGGGGGGAAAGGAGGCTTTGAGGTGGGTTATTCCACAGGGAAGCAAACCACAAAACAGTGATATGGGGACAACGCTTCTTCCTGCTCCAAGATAAAAGGGTCCTGGCAGCAAACCACAGGGAAGTGGGAAGCAGCAATTAGCAGTGGGAAGCTGGGAAGTGTTCCCTTGGAGCAGGGTCTCCCCAGGAACTGGGGGCTCTGGTTGGTTCGGCTGCGATGCTGCTGGAGGAAGTCAGGATTCCACACTTGGGCTTGGGGTTGATGTGATATTCGAAGTGGATTGACAGGTGGAAATCCCTTTGGAAGCCTGGATCCAAACCTGGAAGCCCAGCAAACTGTATCCCACCTGGAAACCTACCTAACATCATGGAGGAAAGCCCTCCAGGTGACAGAACTGGCTGCAGTTTGGGAATTAGCCTCTAGTTTGGCCTGGGAGGGGTTTGGCTGTCAGGTAAACCTGGACCACCAGATAACGGGCTGCAATTGGGGAATTCCAAGCCCCTGTTTTGGCTTGGAAAGGGTTTAGGCTGACAGGTAAATCTGGGCCACCAGCTAACTGGCTGAAATGTGGGAACTGGCTCCTCTTTTGGCTTGGAAAGGGGTTGGGCTGCCAGGTAAACCCAGGTCACCTCTGCAGAGCCCCTCATTACAACCAGCTGGACACTGGTTGTAATGACACTGAGTGGCCAAGGGGACACAACGGGGGGCACTGGGGGGTCCCCAGAGCCCGGGACCGGTCACAGCTACTTAGGAAGTCCCTTTGATAAGCTATCGCCAGCGCGTGGTGTAACCCGCGGCACCGACTGAGGCCTTATCTCCACGCATGGGCTGCATCAGGCGCTAAAACACAACAGGGAGGGGAGAAAACCCCATTTACACCCAGAACAACCGCTCACGGAGGAACCGGCCAGGCC